CATTTGGCTCTGGAATTTCTGGGCTTTCAAAATGTGCCTTACAGACCTGAATCCTGGTTAGCTATGCCCTGAGTGAGGGCTTGAGGATGAAACCTTCGTGGGAGTTTCGATTGCTCAGTTTCCATTGTCATGAACAGATGCATTCCTTGAGCAGAAATAGTGGCTCATTTCAGGCCTGTGAGGAGAAGGTGCTGCCCTAACTCCTTCAACTTGAAGACTTGGATCTCCGCCTCAGTGTTTCAACTCTTAGAAAACATGTACAGTGCTGTACAGCTTCCCTTTACTTTCATCAGAATCAGCTGCCTCTACTCTGGGTCAGTCACAGAGAACCAAAACTAGTATCTGAATAAACAGCCCATTCATTTGAGGACTGTTATTCCCAGCACTAGGATCCGGAACACAACCTGGGCAGACAGCTAATGAGAACACCAGAGCTGTGAGACTCCGGAGGTGGGGCAGAGAAGAAAACAGAACAAACACTTTCTTGTGGCTTGGGGTGAAGGAGATTCAACCAAAGGTTAATTGCTGTCTACCCTAAAATGCTGTGAAGTATTGCTGCATGGTGTCATACAGCTGCTTCATTCCAGCACAGAGGTGTCTGTTTCAATGGTGGGTGGCATGAGCCAATATCCTTTTCTTAGCTGCACGGGGGTGTTGTGAGGTCTCTTGCAACTTCCAAAAAGTCCCATAAAGCTTTGGTACTGTTTAGGATGTCACTGCATGGAAGTGGGCAGTGAGCAAAGCCTCTAAATGAATTGCCCCTCTGTCCCCTTGTTTCTCCCTCATGGGCAGAAATGCAACGATGATTAAGGAGTAGCATTGTGGTTTAACCTGGCAGCAGCTGAACACCACACAGCCCTTTGCTCATGCCCCCCCCCCCAACTCTTGTCTTTCATCATATGAGGGAGAGAATTGAGAGGGAGTGGGGAAGGGAAGGTAGTAGAACTCATAGGTTAAGATAAAACCTTTACTTCTAGTAAAAGAAATAGAAAAGATAGAAATAACAGTAACAATAATAACAATTATATATAAAGTGACGCACAAAACAGTTGCTTGCTGACTGATATCCAACCAGTCCCCAAGCAGCAGCTGCCTCCAGACCAACCCCCCTCAGTTTTTAGAGTCACAGAACTGTAGGGGTTGGAAGGGACCTTAGTCCAGCTCACTTCTGATGTAGTTTCCCTCCAAGTTCTCTACATAGGTTGCACAGGAAACAAAGCAGGTTTTGAGCATCAGTGGAGGAAGAGACTACACAACCTCTCTGGCCAGCTATTACAGCTGGAAAGAATATCATTGAGAAAGGGAAAGAAGCAAACAGAGAAGAAATACTCACCCATATTTGAGGATTCAGGCTTACAGTGGAAGACTCCACAAAGGAGGGATCTCCAGAAAGAGACCCTTCCCCTGTGGCAGTCAGCCCTTAAATGGGGTCCAGGAGAGGTGCAGCCAGGCTCCACCCCTTCCAGTCAGCAGGTGAATTGCCTTCACCTGTGCTCCCAGGGCTGACCCAGTCCTTGCCTCAGGTGATCAATCAATGGTTCAGGCCGTGACTCAACAGTTCCCATACACCAGCTTGTTCCAATACTCTGTCAACTTCAAAGTAAAGTTCTTTCTCATATTCAGATGGAACTTCCTGCATTCCAGTTTGTGCCCATTGCCCCTTGTCCTGTTGCAGAGCACTGCTGAAAAGGGCCTGGCCCCATCCATTAGACTCCTGTACATAGCTTTTTGTCACATGATTCCCTATGGTATGGAATATCCCTTTGGCCAGTTTAGGTCAGCTGTCCTGTTTGGTCCCCTGCCAATTTCGCAGTCATGAACAATCTGTGCAGTAGTGTCCATAGTCAAATCCACCCCTCAGTCTCAAGCCCATCACTATGTTGCATCTCTTCCTTGATGGCCTGAAGTGTCATGGGCCCACCGATGTAGTAATAGTTGTGTTTCCTGTTCAGATATACTTGAGCAGTTTTAATCATAGCAGCCTGATCCACCTGCTGGTTGTTTTGATTTTTAGTGGTACAACTCAGGTACGTGAGCATCTACACAATGTACCTTTACAACCATGTTCTCTTCTTGGGCAGCAATATATCTCCATACTGCAGCAACCCAGATGCCTGGGTTTGCCTCTGCACTGCCAGTTGTGCTTGCATTGCTGTAACCACCCCTGTAGGACATTTGCCACCAGCCACAAGTCAGAGGTAGAGCGCTGGCTGCTTCTTTTGTTCTGCAATGCCTGAAGCCACCTGGATGGCCTCCACTTCTGCAACTTGGCTCGATTCACCCTTTCCTTTAGTAGCTTCTGCAACTCATTGTGTAGGACTCCATACAGCAGCCTTCCACCACCAGCGCTTTCCCACAATGCAACAGGACTCATCAGTGAACAAGACATTTCTTCTCATTCTCTGGCAGTTTATTTTATAGAGGAGCCTCTTCAGCACTTATCACCTCCTCATCACTCCTGTCTGGGATTCCCTATTCAAGCCTGTTGTGTGATCAGTGCAACCCACCTACTCCACATAGCACCAGTCACAGACCCACTGGAGGTTGTAATCTGCTACTCCTTTGACTTCTGTCCATGTGTCACCCCATCTGCTATGCAGCTTTCATACTGCACGTGACTAAAAGCAATACAATTTTGCCCTGAATTAGGGCTGTTGTGACATCTTGGATGTCCCCTGCTGCTTTGTGGCTCTCTCACAAACATCAGCTCACTGTTGTACGTGGGATTTGAGATCATTACCTGCTTTTCCTAGCTAGTTTAAGACTTTCTGTAATTGGATTTTGCTGATTAAGCAGTGCCTGGTCTGGATGCAAGAGAGGGAAGGTTTGATATTTGTGTAAATCAGACTGTAGGTGAAAACAGATGTTCCAGTAATCAAACAGCTGTTCCTGTAATACCAGTGTTCCTAGCTCAGGACTACAGGGCTGAGCTCCAGCTCTGCCATAGAGCTGCATGGTGGGGAGGACACACTGTGCTGCCATGGGGGAGGGCTTCCATTCCTCCTGCCTTCATTCAGGGGCTGTGACTGCTTTCTGCCATGGGGTTTGTTGTGGCTGCTTCCAAGAGCTGTTGTGGGAGCTGCCTGCCTGAGGATGGCTGAGCCCCTCAGGCAGCTGCTACAGCACCTGATGCTGTGGGCAGGGGGCCCTCCCTCTGTCTGCGGTGGGGAGCAATAGCAGGATTTCTTAGACCTTTTGAGTGTTCTTGTCTAGTCAAGATAGCGTTACCAACTTTGGCTCTAGCTTTCACTTGTTCCTGATAAAGTATCATAGACTACCGTATGAAACATCGTAACCTTTAACTTGGTTATTGGAAGTATTTTGCAGCAGAGTATCAGTATTTTGTTAGTTTTGTAACTAGCAAGAAATGTTACTTTGAAGAATAGCCCTTCTGCCATGAAATAATGTGGTCTTAGTGCCCCTGCAGTGGTTGAAACTCTGCCTTGAACAAAGCAGTACAAACATTCCCTAGCAGAACTCCGGTTTGATAATGGTGCAGCACAGCTGGTTCATTTCTCTGGTCTTGCATGCTCTTTCCTGTTGAAACTGGGTGCTAATACAGGAACCACCTGGCCTACCTCTGTGCTACTGACTTCTGCTCAAGCAAGTGCTCGTTAAATTAATGTTGGCTTTTGACAGCCCTTTTTCATGTCCAGCTCAGGTAAGACAGCTCTTTGCTGTGATCCTTATGCTGGGTGACAGGATGCTCTGGGACAGCCCGGGGGGTTGGAGCCACGTCTTTTCCCATCTCCATCACACACAGCTGCCTGCAGTGCCTGCTGGTTCCACCCGGGTGCAAGCAGCCAAGTGCAGATTTGCCTTCTGGCCTTGCAGAGGAGCTGGGGCTGTCTTATTGGTGGCATGAGTGGCCACTGAAACTGCAGTAGGGCTTTGGAGGAGGGTGGGTTGTGACAGCAGTTCCGTAACTCTGTCAGCAACATGTTAGCTGGGTTGAATCTCATCGCTCAGTGCTCAGAGGTGTGCATTGAAGTGAGCTGTAGTGCTTTTGTGCAACAGGACTTGCTCTGTTTTCCCAAATTGAACCATCAAGTGCTATCACTGGTGTCCCGGATCTCAGCAGGAAACTGAGAAATCTGAAGGACTGTGCATGAGAGCTCCATGATGTCTGCAGTCTTCTACAGATATTTCGTGGGAAACAAATCTTTACCTGTCCTAATACTATTAAATTCACTTCCTACAAACCTGCTTTCAACTCTTTGGCTAAATCATACTGGAAATAATTGGACACACCTAAAAAAAATTGTGGTGGAATTTTGCTATGTACTGCAATGTTCTCTTCAGGTCACCCTGTTAGATAACTCTCTTAACAGCAGTTGGGTAACAGCACCTCCTCTTCAAGTGAGCTTTCCTTTCTATGCTTTAAAGACACTGGCTGCTCTCTAAAACTCCCATAAAGTAATGTTTGTGGGGTTTATAATCCCTCACACGTAACACCAGGCTGCTGCTCAGGACGTGCTCAGAGCTCTCACTGGGGCTGTTACCCATGATATGGACCTCAGAACCTCTGCTCCTCTTCTTGGGGAGGCCAGGAGGATAATGAAAGTCCTGCCTGGTTTGACTGCAATCTTCTGATACAGAGCTCTTCCCATCATGTCCAGAGCTGCAGTGTTTCAAAGCAGTACTTTGCTATTCCAGTTGCAGCTCTTGCCCTGGTGCCCACAGCGTGGAAGGCACTGCCAGGAGGATTCAGTGTTCTCATCCTTAGGGATGAGAAATTAGGGATTGCTGAATATTGACTTTGTGCTTTAGGGGCCTCAATTATGTACACCAGTGCCTGTTCTGTTGTGGGTGTCTGTCAGCTTGTCCCAAGCTGTAAGGAGATGAGCCTCTGCTTTGGGGTCCTTCTAGTTTGCAAGAGACCTAATGGGAGAGTGCCAGTCTGTTCCCTGATTATTTTATAAAGGCAGTCAAGATCAAAGCACAGAGCTGCCTGCTAAGCAGGGTCAGAAAAAAATCTTTGCGCTATTTTCCTCTCCAAGGCTGTGGTGTCTGCAGAATGACCGCGTTTTTGAAGCGAGTGCAAGAAGCTGAGGCACCTGGAGACTGCAGCTGGGTGTGACATGGGAGTGATGCCAAGTAAGTTCATGTCCTTAGGTGTAAGTGCAGTGAGTGGAAGAGCAAGAGCTGGGCAGCAGACATGAACACTTGGCAGCTTGCTGCCCCTGGGCTCATCTCTAGCGAGCCTGGACGGGTGCTATGTATGGGAGCTGCTGTTTCCCAGGATGAGACTCTGGGGATTGAGTTTTGTCATCTCCCTCTTTAAAGGTTCATGCTTAAAATTGTCCTGATTAGAAAGAGCCAGTAGAAAATGAGGGCAATAAGCATAAGTGGTGAAACCTCAACTTCCGGTTATGGGTTTTCTAAATTTTTATTTATTTAGTTATTTTAATGACTCTTAGGGAAGTGGTTCTAGTTTGGAGCCCTCTTTCTAGAGAAGTTCATGCTTGTGTGTAATTAACGTTCCTGTCAGCTTGACTGCCATCCTGGAAAACAGGTGTAGAGCTGCTATAAGTAGCAAGGAGCCTCATGCTTGCAGGGAGCTCCTCACAAACTCTAAATTACAGTTTTGCTTCCTGTGCCACGACCTCAGGGCCCTGACCTGCAACTGCAGCATATTCTCTGTGACTAACAGCTGTAATTCCCTAATTATCATGCTCCCTTATCCTGCCGTGTTGTAGATTTTGTTACCAAGGGAGCAAGCAATGTTTCCTCATTCCTATCCTTGCTCTGCACACTTCCAACTGTTTTAAATCTGCCATTTGATGCAGCCCGTGAAGTCAAATGTCTGTCTCTTGTTTCAGATGCTCATTGTCTTCAGAACATATGATGTGTCTATGCGCTGGGGAGGAGGGCAAAGCAAACCTTCTGGCCTTTCTTTTAGTGAAGGCTGATGCTTTGTAGTTCCAGGTTCGAGTACCTTTAGTAGCTGCAGTGCTTTGGTGCAAAGTCCTGGACTAAACGTGGCCTTGCACTCAGCTTGCTCAGTGGTCACTGCTTCGTTAGACTGACTAACAGAGCTTCTGTAGATGCTGGGAAAGAAAGGTGCATGTAAAGCTCTGAAAGCTGGCTGTGTGTGTGGTGTAATGGGGTGGTGTGCCACTGCCTGACATGATACTGGGGGAAACAGGTCTCTTTCAGTTAGCCTTGAAGTGGTCAGGCAGTTGGACTGGAAGACCTTCTGAAGGTCTCTTCCAATGGAACTATTCCAGTCTAATCTCTATTCTAAATAATAAACCAGCTGTGTATGCCTTAGGCTTCACTGGTGTCTGTCCTTCTCCTGAAAGGATGCTTGCAGGCTGGCTTCTGTTCCCACCATGGCCATGCCCAAGACAGATGTACAACTTGTTTTTGCCCTTGGTAGGTGTGGTGATGAGCAGGAAACCTTTCCAAGGGTGTGGCCTCCAACAAATGGTATTTTCTACCTTGCTCCAGAAATATTGTCTAAATTGTGACAGAAATGTCGCAAAAATGTCGCAGGGTAAAAACTACTGATTAAGTGGATTTGCTGTGTGACTTCAGTCGTTATGCAAAGATGGAGGAAGTTGTTGCTTTCTCTGGCCTTTCTCTGGCTTTTGGCAGTTATATTTTCAATAACTGAGCCTTGAAAATTGATATTGGGGGTTGGTGGGGGCGGGGTGTGTGTGAGAGGGCTACTTACTGTTCTCAAAAAGACCCTGTCAGATGAAATGTAGCTGTGCAAAGGAAAAACTCTTTAGACAATAAAACAAGTAGCATTGAACTGAGATACGATCTTTAAGGTCTTTAAGATCTTTTCCAACCCGAGCAATTCTATGATTCTATGATCATGGTTTTACCTTCAGCCCTCCCTAGAGGCTTTGTGCATGAGCTGGGGATCTGGAGAGCAGGGCTCAAGCACGCACTCCTGAGATGCTCAGACCATGGTGTGCTAGTGGAAAGAGCTTACCGCCTCAATGATGGTGGTGGCAGCTTAGCAGGTGTTGGGATGTCATGGCACTGTGGTGTGATGTGCTGGAAGATGCTGTGGTAATGATTAAGCTGTCAAATACATGCTGGATACAATGTCAGAGCAAAATTGCAGGTTTTAATGCGGTCTTGTTGTTTAAAAAGGGGTTGACTGCTTCTGTGGGTGAAATTTGGTTTTGCTTTGGTCACTCTAAAAACGTACTGTGGTTCTAAGTGGTTGAATATAAAAAGCTGTGGAAGAAACGTAGCCTAACAGAGTCAGCATTTTGCATCCTTATCTGCAATGGCTGTACTTCATACATGGCAGCACTCACCCTGTGATGTCATGTTGTAACTAGTTTGGGGTTTGGTGGTGGTATTCAGTGCACCCTTCTATAGCAGTAAGGCACAAAGGTTGCTGGGAGTTGGCAGTGAGAGGCAGCAGTTTGCAGTGGGTTTGGTACTCACCAATGAAGGGGAGAGAGGCAAGGGAGTGTGAACATGCTATGCAGTGTATTTGTATTGCGTTTGTAAAGCATGTGTTATTTGTGCTATGGATGTTGTGTATCTCACGCGTGGCACAGCCCTGAGGTGGTACAGATGTGCTGTGTGTGTCCTGTTTGTGGGGTTTGTGTGTGGCCACTGCAGGCCTGTGTGATGCATTAACTTCTTTCCTGTTCTGTCTTCCTCTGGTCTTGTGGTCTCTGTCCTGTTGCCACTGTCCCCTCGGCAGCCCTCTCCCCTGAGCACGTGTGGAAGAGGCTGAGGCACAGAGCTGCTGGCTCCTGTGGCTGCCTGGCTGTGCTGCTTGTCCTCCAGCAGCCGGAATGGTGTTTACTGTCCCCGAGCAGCTGGCTCTTTGGCGCTGGCATCCATGCACTCTGGGCGTGCTCTGACAGATTTCATCCAGCTCGCTGCTGACTGGTGCAGTGCGTCGTCATATCCTTGCTGCAGCTGTTTGGGGATGAAGAAGCCCCTGTTGGGGTGCCAGCCAGTCTGACTGCTTTGCAACAGGACACTGCCAGGATCCCTGGTGGCTTTTTGGAAGACTGCACTTTTGTCGTGTGTCCCCGCCCCCTACCATTGTACCACACAGCCACATGGAGCTGAGAGTCCTCAGTGGATTGGGTAAGGCCCTACCCTGCAAATGCCTTATCCAAGCACGTGAGCACTTGTTTTTGCACAGTGTGACCCACGCTCTCAGCCATAATCCTGAAACCTATGCTACTTTTGTACAACACGCCAGTGTTGTGCTGAAACTGGAGCAAACTGCAGGAGCACGCATAGACCTGTCAAGAGTTTGGTGAGCAGGAGCTCAGCTGTGGAGAATACTGGGTTGGGGTTGCCTTGTCCAGAGAACAGCACGATGGCAGCACATCTGCCAAAGCCAGAAGAAGGGTAATGGCTGGAGCCTTCCATCACTAGAACAACCAGGATGCTAGATGCAGCACGTTACCCAGAAGCCAGCTGCACAGCAGTCACTGTACTCCCAATGTGTGGAGGCCACTGCTGCTTGCTGGTCACTTACTTATGTCAGAGAAATAATATTTTTTAAGAATAACAATCAGAATTTACTCTGCTCTGTAAATACTTTTATAATAGCAATAAACCTGATAACTAGATAGTTAACTAGTTAACCTGATAGCTAGCAGGAGGAGAAGTCTGAAAACATCTCAGTTAAGAGCCAAGAACCTCAGTGGTGCTTTGGCTCCTCACTTGCTTGGCTATTTGTCCATTGACTCTCTGATTCCTACAATACAACAACAGTTGATGAAAACACAAAGCCACATCTTTGGGAAGCACTCAGTTTTGTCACGAGAGTCACAAACTCTGTTGCTGGTGCAGAATGAAGACCTTTATTGCAGATGCTCACAACCTTTTATACCCACACAAAAACCCCTTGGTCACAAGTATATGAGCCTTGTGCATGTTTACATCTGGTGCAAGTAGCTACCAAGCTTGTTTACTCATATGCAAGGTCTTTAGTTCATGTCTTTCTTTTTCCCACATCTCCCCCTTCTTTATTAGTTTGAACAACAAGCAGGTGGTTGATAACCTTGTTAATATAAAGAATATATACCATTAAACATGCAAAAAACAAAAAAAACAATAATCCCCATCACCTTTCCAACCCACGGTCCCAAACCTTGATACCACCCCTCAAACTAAACCCATGAGTTTTCAAACGTAGCTTCTGCCCCACAAACCAAACATTTTCTGAGGTAGTTGTTGCATTGCTCGATGCTGAGAGACTGGCTGCACTATCCACAGTCCAGATACCTCCATAGGCTTCAGTTGGGAAAATACCCAGAAGGTTGTTATGGATCTGAAGCAGCAGCAGCAGATGCTGATGGTTCAGTCAAGCAGGGCTTTATGACTGGCTGGAACCAATCGTGGTCCAACACCTGTGGAAACACAGGTATAACCTCTTCCTCCACCACCCTTCCCTTTTCTTTTGTTTCCAAGGATGGGAAAATATATTATTAAATCACTGAAATTACACCTTCAGAACCAGAATTATGAAAGCCAGGCAGGTGCAGGTAAGATATACAGTTGTAAATATACACATTACACTCTTAAATGCCAGAAGATATTCAGCCTGTCAAGTTGGATTATACAACCAAATAAGAGAAAGCTTCCTACATTGCCAGTGTTCACCTTGAATATCTGCTTCTAGTCAATCTCTGATCCTTTTTTGTAAATAAGAGAATCTTTGGATTCCCACAAGTATCCCATAATGTTTTCTTTTAACAGAAAGAAAAAAGAGATCTGTTTATAAGTGAAAGACTGCTTCTCTTGTAAGAGAGACTGTACTACCTACTGTAGAAAATAACAGCTTTAAAATCAGGAACCTGTTTACTGAGGTGTCTTTCACATCTGCAAGGCAATGTATTTTCACCACTTTCAGCTGTGCATTTGACTGGGTATCAGAGGAATTCAGACATAGCACGGTTTTCAAACATACTTCCAATGTTGTTGGGCCTTCTCAATCTGCATACCATCATCTTTTATCTTAGAATTTCCTGGAGCATTTGAGCAACTGCTACAACAGGTAAAAGGTTCAGAAAAATACACTGCATCAATGCTAACAGCCGGAATGAGCGAGGGTCCAAACACAAGCACACGTCTCAGCAGCAACTTCCCACAGCTCCAGCTCCCACCAGCTGACCACGAGCATCACTTCAGCGTGGTGCTTCTGCAAAATAATTTCCATTATTTGGCAAACCGCCTCCTGCACCTTTGTCATACTTCTTTCCATTGTTCCCATTGCTCACCTCCATCCTGCAGAAGTGATTCTGGCTGTGCTGCCTCATCCAGCAGTTTTTGGGTCCAGCTTCTTTCAGCGGCCCTAATTCCTTGCCACTGGTCAGCTTGACAGCTGATGATATCCTGAGGTTGACCAATACAGGGTCCCTGGTTGGGTGTCATTTGTAGCAGGAGAGTCACAGTCTCAGTTGCTGGTGCAGAACGAAGAACTTTATTGCAGGTGCTCACAGCCAGGGCCTCCTGCTGTTTACATCTGCTGTAAGTAGCTACCAAGCTTGTTTACTCATTTGCAAGTTCTTTCGTTACTAAAGTCTTCGTCCCACACTCAGTGCTTTCAGTCCCATCACCTCACCCTCGCAGTGTAGCCTTATGCCATAGTGACATTAGAAGAGAAGAGGCAGCAGGCAGAGGGAGGTGATCATCCCCTCTTGGGGGGGAAGATCTTAGGTGAAAGAAAACAAACGCATGACATCATGCTGAGTCTGGAAGTAACTACTGTTTAATTTACAGAGCACCTCTTTCAATGTGTTGCACACTTAAAATACAGAACAAAGCCAAAGCCACCGCTGTTACAGTTACACCTCACCTACACAGCAAGATGAACCTGGTGGCTACAACCTCCTTGCCTCCAGTACAGCCTTTCAGGGGTCTTTCAGTGCTTCACCGTACACTAGATAAAGATGATGAGGGCTACTGAGCACTTGCAGAAGGGATTTCTTCAGCAAAAATCAGGTAAGCTGCAAAGCACTGACTGTTAGGTCAAAGCATCTTCTGTGCTTATTGGACACACTGTGGGCATTTCCAAACCAGGCAAGGCAGGCAAGTGTTGGGTTACTCAATATATGCATGGCCCTGTGTCTATGGAAATGCTTTAAAAATATGGAGACTATATGTATATATACATACATACACATGTGTGTGCATGTATGTATAAAAATACATAATATCTTTGAGGTATTAAAAAATACAATTATACGTTATAGTAAACGTAAGTATTTTTCTTTTTAATTGTCCTTATTTTGTATTTTATTAATTTTAATGTTTCTATTTTTTGTTGTTTTTATCTCTGTTTTTATTGCTATTTATTGTTGTTTCTTTTTTGTTTCTTACTGTATATTATTTTCTACTTTTATTGCTATATTTTGGGTTTTTTTTAATTTTTATAATATCTTATTCTTTATATTTTATTATTTATTTTTTGTTGTTTTTATTATTTTTGTTGTTTATAACCACAGATTCATAGAAAGGTCTGGGTTGAAAAGGCCCACAATGCTCATCCAGTTCCAACCCCCTGCTATGTGCAGGGTCTCCAACCAGCAGACCAGGCTGCCCAGAGCCACATCCAGCCTGGCCTTGAATGCCTCCAGGGATGGGGCATCCACAGCCTCCTTGGGCAACCTGTTCCAGTGCCTCACCACCCTCTGTGTGAAAAACTTCCTCCTAAAATCTGACCTAAACCTCCGCTGTCTCAGTTTAAAACCCTTCCCCCCTTGTCCTATCTTCATCCACCCTTGTAAGCAGCCATTCCTCCTCCTGTTTATATGCTTCCTTCAAGTACTGGAAGGCCACAATGAGATCTCCCCAAAGCCTTCTTTTCTCCAAACTGAACAAGCCCAGTTCCCTCAACCTTTCCTCCTAGAAGAGCTGCTCCAGCCCTCTGATCATCTTAGATCCCTCCTCTGGACCCGCTTGTTAATTTGATGTTTACATTGTTTCTAGTGTGTTCATTATTTATGTTTATATTGTTTATACAACAAAAAATAATAAAAATAAACAAAAATAATGAATAAAATAAACAAAAATAATAAAATTAAATGAATAAACAAGAAACAATAAAGCACACATAGACAACATAAAAATAAACAATAAACAAAATATTTATTTCATAGCACAGTTTGTTTTCTTTATTATTTATGTGTACTTTGCTTATTTGATTGTATTTACACTTACTTTGTTTATGTTTATTTTGTTTTTGTCTACAGTCTTCATTTTTGTTTACATTAAATTTGATTTGTTTACATTTCACTTGATTTTGATTCAACTTTGTTATGCTTACATTAGGTGTGTTTACATTTACATTGCATTTCTTTACATTAAACGTGAGAACATTTCCCTTGTTTCTGTTTACAGTAAGTTGAAGCCTGCTTTGTTCTTGTTTACATTAACGTTGTTTCTGTTCACATTAACTGTCTCTCTGTTTATTTTTGTTCACCTTAGCTTCCTTCACCATTAGTTTTTGTTAACTTTCTTTGTGTCCGTTTGCTTTGTTTGCATTTACTTTGTTTACATGAACGTTGTCATTACCTTAACTTCCTTCTGTTTACATTAAATTTATTTCTGTTGACATTACCTTTGTTTATGCTAACTTTGTTTTTGATGACGTTGATTTTTCTATGTTCACGTTTTTTTTGTTTACATTAATCTTGTTTTCATTTACCTGGTCTGTTTTCGTTAGCTTTATTTACTTCAGCTTTGCTGTTCTTTACATTAACTGTTTTCAATTACATTAACTTTGTTTACATTAAAACTTCATTTACATTAAGTTTGTTTACATTAGCTTTGTTTTTCTTTACATTAAAATTGTTTATGCTCACTTTAACTTTGTTTACATAAGCTCCTATTTTGTTTACGTTCACCTTGTTTTTCTTTACATTAGCTTTGCTTGTGTTTACGGTACCTTTGTTTACATTAACTTTGCTTTTGTTTATATTTTGTATTTGTTTATGTTAATTTTATGTTTACATTAATTTGTTTACATTAGCTTTCTTTTAGTTTGCATGACATTGTTTTTGTTTACCTTAAGTTCATTAGCTTTGTTTTGGTTGACATTAACTTGGTTAATGTTAACTGTTTCTGTTAGCATCTATTTTGTTTACATTAGCTTTGTTTATATTTATGTTAACTCTGCTTATGTTAGCTTTGTTTTTATTTACATTAAGTTTTTGTTTACTTTAGCTTTGTTTACATTTATGTTAAGTTTGTTTGCATTTACACTAATTTTGTTTTCATTTACTTTGTTTTAGTTTACCTTTAGTTTGTTTACATTAAGTTTGCATATGTTAGCTTCTATTTTGTTTAGATTGTTTTTTGTTTGCTTTTGTTTACATTGTTTTTGTTTACATTTACATTGACTTTGTTTACATTAACTTTGCTTACATTTATTTTTCGTTTAGGTTAACTTTGCATTGTTTTTGTTTGCATTTGCTTTATGGATATTTGTGTTCACTCTGTTTTCAATAGTGCCATTTTTTTCCTGTATGGAGGAGTTCAGTGACACACCTTTGCTTCTTCTGTGTCATACTGCCCTTCTGCTCCCATCTATTTCACTGCAACAACACGTAAGAGAATATTGTCAGGAAGGTTCAACTCTACTGCCATAGCATCACCACCCCCTTCTAAAACAAGAGGCACTACTTTTCAAAGCAGCCCACATATATACATAAAAACAAACATATATACTCCAACCCCTACAAAGACACTTGCCATAACCATTCAGTGCCTCCAAAAACCCTTCAGTCGCCCATGAATAAGTGCTCCACTGTCACCAAAAGCAAGGAAACTGAAAACCCCAAGAGAAAACGGCACAAAGATCTCCAAAAGTACACGCAGACCGTGCAGAGAATGTTCTTGCACCCGCTGCAAGTGTGTGCACGCCACAGCTATGCTTGTTAGTCTCTTTCTTGGAAGAGAAAGTATAGCATAAATTAATCTGCAACATATGTCTCCCCATAAGAGAGGAAGGCATTCAGAATTTAGAAGAAAATGCTGTAACTGTAACAGGATCTTGTACTGTACGTGATATTTACAGTGGCTTTTCTTTTTTTTTTAACTAGACCCGTACTATAGAGCCCTCTCTGTTATCTGCAGAAGACTTTGTCTAACCGGGTATTTTATGCATCAAGTTTTACATTCCTCTTACTTTTGCTAACGGTCTTTTCCAAACAAAGACTCTTCTTTCAGGAGAATTAAGACGCAAATCTTCGTATCTGTTCCAAAGGCGGAGTGTGTCTGCCTTATTTACTTTGCTGGGACCGCTGGCATTCATGGGACACCAACAGCTGGATCTGAGCACTTCCTTTAATTGAACAGGTTTACAGTCTTTCTGCACTGAAGCAATTCTCCACATCACACAAGCCTGCATACCGGAATAAAATGAAAATTTAAGAGCCCTGGCTAACAAGACCTATAAGCTCATTGTTTAAACAAGAGGCCAATTGTCTGGGCACTTGAGTGCTCTGTTCCTCGAACATTAAACCCACAAGAGGGACAACAGCCTAATCCACAGCTTGCCGCCAGGTGGTATGGAAATTAATCTTCCACTCACCCGGGCTATTAGTTGCGGTATTTATAAAGGTTTGCAAGTAAATGAGGCGAACGACTGAAATTTTCTCCCCGTCATGGAGGGTTGTGGCAACGTGGTGATATGAAATATCAGCCTTCAGGGATGTGCCCCGTGGGGAGGAAAGTGCGAATGGAGCACAGTGCCTGGGGAGCAGGGAAATGGGCAGCTCTCAGTTGGTAAACCCCGGCTGGTCCAGGCCCAGTGCCAGCTTGCTGCCCAGACAAAGAGGATTCAAACCCAGCATCACCTTTGCTCTTCTGTGAGCTGCTCACCGTGGCATTGAATTCAAATGCCTACCTGCATTATTATAACTGACAAGAAGAAGAAATCCGGGGCTTTTTGTCATACGGTTGCTCAATTACATCTGTACAAGTAAAGGGAAATACTCAGCAGAAAGCAGGTGATCAAAGTAGGGACAGAGACTTCAATTAAAAAAAAAAAAAAAACAAAAAAAACACAGAACCCAGCCCACTTGAGCATCTGAAATAGTGAAATACCAAACTTTAGTCTCCTGTTGCAGCATCCTTTGCCCTTCTGTCCTTTGAGGCATCCTACATCTGCAGTTTCCTGGGTTAAAAGACGCACGTTTCCCCAGTGCCTCCACTTTTCCACTGTGGAGATTCAGGTATCCACGTGCCCTCACCTCACATCCAGGGAGAAAACCAGCGAAAGATACAATAAACCTTTCTCACAGAAGGAGAGCATAACTTCATAACTTGTTTCCCCTAAAATTTCCAGCTACGCTAAATTCTTGCTTTTCAGTGCTTTAATTGGATGAAAGGTCAAAATTCTGCAAGATAAAGAACTGAACAGCTCTGAAAAGCTTTAATGAGGGTTGTTGTTTTGTTTTTTTTTTTAATGGATCCCACAAATAGCAGCAGAGCTTGGGCTTAGAGAAACTTGAATCAGAATTATTTTGGTTCCCCATTTGGCTTGCTTTATAAGACATACAGCCAATAACTTCATAGCCTCAAACTCCTTACTATAAATAACATTTTACCATTGAAAAGAAATGTAAAGGGTCAGAGCTGTTCTTAGAGATCCATGTATCATACATGAGGCTTCCAAGGTAGTTGGATGCAGACTGAATAGTGAATTTCCGAAAATGGGAAACAATGGGAACTACTGAACAAATAAGGTGTTCAATTCATTCTGGCCCCATATTTTCCTTCCTGTAACCATGGAGTAAGTCACTGGACAGCCACACACCCACACCCAGCCTTCAGCCCAAACCTAAAGGCAGCGCAAAGAGCAGGGTCGTGTCCTGCTACCGACCTCTATTATTTATCATTGCACTTGCCCTTCACCAATTCAGTCTTGAATCAAGACAGGAAAACCAGTTATCAGGATAAGTTGGAGTCTTGGTGCGAGGAGCTGCAAAGGGCTGGCAATAAATCAGCCCACAGATCTGACTCAAAGTCACAGCCATGACAGCTTTTAGTTCTGTTGTGACATCTCAGTTCCAACTTTACAATTCAGGCACCATCCTTTATGAATTCTTTGAACCTGTTTCCTGACTCCATTCAGTAACATAGCTGTACCTCTGATCAGCAGTGAAAATAGCGAAGTATCCTCCTTCATCCAAATTAGATGAAGGATCCAAGACCTGAATTAACAGCCATGGTTTTCCTGAGCTGGAGCCTCCATGTCAAGTGCTGGCCACTGTCTTAACCACTATGAAAATGTTTAATCGGTTTAGGAAGACTTAAACTTAATTGTGCTCCAAGGAGAAGTGGGATCCTGCAATCCCCTGTATCAAGTCATTTGCAATCAAAACTACAATCAACAAGACCCCCATAAATAAGCTTAAGACGATCTGCTTTTCTCAGTCCTAGCCCCTGTCTCAGTGCTAGCCCTTGTCACAATCATCACAGGTATTTATTTTCTAGCAAACACTGCACAGCTGCAGCTGGCCTTTAGCTTGTTGCAGCAAGTGTCAGATCAGCTAGTTATAGAGGCTCACTACCACTGAAGCAGCTTTATTTCTGAAGCAACTCTATTGTCTATCTTTGCTACTCACCTTAAAATAAGACGAGAGGTAAAGTCCATGCACACAGCAACTAACATCTATCCTTAAACTGCCTCAGAACTGCTCCAAGGCAGCAGACCCACACCTGGTTGAACCAGATAGACCACCACCCTAATGAGCCCAGACCAGAAAACAGAAAGCCAGTTGTTCCCAGCATCAAGGAGGCACTTGACTCCAGCAGCACCTCTCATTTTGGAAGGATTGGCTTTATTGTGGTCCCTGTTATTTAGGTCAGATTAAGATCTCCGATTCCAAACCTAACTTTGCCTCCAAACAGTGACCAACAAAGGCTACACAAGTGGGAAATAGCACTCAGCCCTGCTGTCCCAGCTCCCAGAGACTAAAATGAACATGTATCAAAAGTCTTCTCTATTTCTCAAATCAGACCTAAGCAGGGCCTGAAGCATAGGCTTACCCTTAAAAAAAAAAAAAAAAGCAATCACATATCAACAGTTAGAGCTTTATAAGCTGAAGAAGGTACTACTTTACAACAATATCAGCATGTAGAAGAATTAGTGTCACCAAATACAGAATACATCTACTTCTTGGCCAAAGATGAAAGGTGAACTCTTACTTTAAGCTCTAATTTAAAGCAAACTCAAACGTTCCAGCCTCAGATTGTTTCTAGGAGAGATGGAACAGCATTTGGTAAAGTCAGCACTTCCAGAAAGCATAAAGACAATTCCCTCTCTGCATCTGGATTCTTCTGAGGGACTCCAGTGAATACAGCACAGGTTAGGGCTGGGAAACCAATAGGCATGAATTACCACTCCCAACTCGCAGACTCCAGATCAAACGGGAGAGGAAGGCTGAAGGCAGCAGGGACATCTGCCACCTTTGACTCACCACTGAGACTGGAGCGAGTGGCAGCATTGGTTCTGGCATGAGGCAAGGGGTTAGAAATTTAGTTTTGCTATAAAAGAACATATTTCTTTCCCTGATACTTGATCTTGCAGGAAGCTGCTTGGGATTAGTAAAGCTGAATTCCTGCCTTGGCTGAGCTCTTGGGACATGCTGTGACAAATGCGAATAGGTCTAGGGCTGTGTGCGAGGGTTGCTAAAGAGCAGGGTGGGAGAGCCTGTGTTATTTATGAGCTGTTTTTTGTTTTTTTTTTTTTCAAAGAGAAGTGTGAGGCCTGAGGGCAGTCCTGCTCACCTTTAATTTTTCAGTGTGAACTATGATCAGACCACCAGCATTTGAATGAGTCTGCAAGAGGGATAGGTTTTAGAGTCAAAGATCGCAATTTGCCAAAATAATACGGTCTCAAGCAGAAAGGACTACCCAATACAGTATATTTTTCTATTACTTGGAGAAGCCATAGTGACAAAGGTGATAGAGAACCACGATGACTGGGTTAAATATATAAAACAGGAAGGTGGAAGAGACAAACATACATGTGAGAATAACGAATGATATTTAGAAACAATTATTAAATGAAGGAATTTCTTTTGAAACAAGCAAACAAAAAATCCCAGAAACTTACAACTGAGAGAAAACCAATTCCAAACTTCTGTCCAGAGCATACATGCTTCCTGTAACTGGAGGACACTGCCAACACAGTTGTTATCTATCCTAGATTTTTTGTAGAATACTAGCAGAAACGAACCCTGAGTCCTGCCCAGTCCCATCACTACTTCATCTTATGTGCAGAGATTGAGATGGTGCCATGAAAGCAACTGTGCCCTTATCTAACAGCAGACACGAGTAGTTTACCCCACGAAATTTGCACAACTGCACTCTTATTGATCTTCCATCTTTCAGAAAGTGCTAAAATATCAAAACAAACTTTACAAGTCTTACTGCTGAAAGCATGAGGTGTGAGAGGAGCACATGGATTAGAGGGGAAAATGCAATGGGCAGGAGCTGATTTCAGGCAGATGCTCTATATTTCACATTTGTCAACAATTACTTTTTGGAGCATACCTACCCCTGAAACACATACCCCTGTCACGTCAACCAGCAAGGAGTTTAGGGGTGTTCTTTTAAAGACTGACCTTTCATTTTTTCCACATCTGACTGCTTGAGATAGGATGACAACTTCTTTGAAGCAGCAGCCCTCAGCAGTGTTACCACACAAAGGGGTACCAACATTTCTCTCCCTTATGCAGCCACAGCTTACTGTAGACTATAGCATCACTGCAAGCTTTTAGCACCTAAAAAAGTTTGTTGCTCAGTATAAGAAAACCATTCTGTTTGATACTTGGTTTTGCTTGAAAACGCATTCTGGAAGCACCAAGAAATTATCATTCTCTGCATACATCAGAAATATACTATTAGAAACCCCAGATTTTATATCTGGGTTTGTTGTCCAGTAAAAGAAAGTCACCTATGCTTCTTTCTTTCTCTTTAATTATTTGCCATAGTTCTGTGCAGAAAACTTGCTTTCTAGAAGCACTTACATGTATTTACACAGTATCATCACAGTCCTAGACTGGTCAAGCGGTATTCTGGAGGTAGATGGAAATTAGGGCAGAAGTACTTGAAATGGTTTACAGTAGGAAAGGAAAAAAATTGCACACCACTCAGTCTTTACACATTCATTCACTATCAATACAACCTAGCAGAGGACTATTTCCTTTACAAAGCTTTTTCACTCTGCAGTTAAAACACAGCCCCACGACTGTTGTAGACACCACAAGCTAGAAGAAACAGAGCCAAATTCTGCCCTTTTGGAAATCCCCTTCTATGAGCATGACATTTTTGTGGCCATCTGTTCAGCGCAAAGCCAGCAATGCTTGCTAGGTTCTTTGTCCCAGCTCCCTG